TGGAGCCCATAGAATTATTCATGCGTTTGGGCATAGGGCGGGGGGGGGGGGGGGGGGCAGGAAGGGTTTGGGCATGCATTGGAGCCCATAGAATTATTCATGCGTTTGGGCATAGGGGGGGCAAAGATCTGGGGGGCAAAGATGTGGGGTGAGGGGAGCGCGGAAAGTGGGGAAGGTGGGGGGAGCGGAACTTGAGGGAATGGCAGGGGCGGAGAAGGGAATGTTTGGGCATGCATTGGAGCCCATTGTTTGGGCATGCATTGGAGCCCATCGGAGGCAAAGATGTGGGGGGTGAGGGGAGCGGGGAGGGTGGGGAGGGTGAGGGGGGTGGGGGGGGCGGGGAGGGTTTGGGCATGCATTGGAGCCCATAGAATACTTCATACAGAGAACCGGCAAAGATCTAACGCAACTTGAAGGAATGGTGGGAAGGGTAGGGAGGGGGGGGTGAAGGGGCCAGGGAGGGTTTGGGCATGCATTGGAGCCCATAGAATTATTCATGCGTTTGGGCATAGGGGGGGCAAAGATCTGGGGGCAAAGATGTGGGGTGAGGGGAGCGAGGAAAGTGGGGAGGGTGGGGGGAGCGGGGAAAGTCTGGGCATGCATTGGAGCCCCTAGAATACTTCAGGCGTTTGGGCAGCGGGAAGGCAAAGATCTGGAGGGGGCGGGGAAAGACTGGGCATGCATTGGAGCCCCTAGAATACTTCAGGCGTTTGGGCAGCGGGAAGGCAAAGATCTGGCTGCATTGGAGCCCATAGAAGTATTCATGCGTTTGGGCATAGGGGGGGGCAAAGATCTGGGGGGCAAAGATGTGGGGTGAGGGGAGCGAGGAAAGTGGGGAGGGTGGGGGAGCGGGGAAAGTCTGGGCATGCATTGGAGCCCCTAGAATACTTCAGGCGTTTGGGCAGCGGGAAGGCAAAGATCTGGAGGGGGCGGGGAGAGACTGGGCATGCATTGGAGCCCCTAGAATACTTCAGGCGTTTGAGCAGCGGGAAGGCAAAGATCTGGCGGAACTTGAGGCAATGGCAGAGGCAAAGATCTGGAGGGGGCGGGGAGAGACTGGGCATGCATTGGAGCCCCTAGAATACTTCAGGCGTTTGGGCAGCGGGAAGGCAGAGATCTGGCGGAACTTGAGGGAATGGCAGGAACGGAGAGGGGAATGTTTGGGCATGCATTGGAGCCCATTGTTTGGGCATGCATTGGCAAGTGGGGAAGGGTTTAGCAGGATGGGGCAGGGGAGGGATCGGTTCTTCACCAGCGCCTCGCCCCACGAGGGGGGTCGGCGGATATTTATGTATAGATATATAGCCGTGTCATGATTGTCACATATTGTCATGCCTGCCTGTGTGCTCGGCGACGCGCCTCAGCACGCTGTGGAGCACTGTGCTGTCAGCATGCAGATCAGAGGTGTTTGAGGCAGAGAATCTGAGGATCTGAGCACCTGAGACCTGAAGTTTGCCGAAGATGTCCTAGAGCTGTTGGACATAGATTGAGGCAGTCGGATTGCCAACGCTGGAAGCGACCGAGCTGTTTACGTCTCTGTCCCGGAAGCAACGGCCTTGGACTTCAGTAAACATTATTGCCGTTTGGCGACGTTTGCTGTTTGTATTTCCTTCGCGCTGTGCATCGTCTTGTCTCAGGCTGGCGCATGAAAAAAGAGCTTTCACCTGAGACAAATACTGTGCTCTATAGCATGGTGGAAGGCGTACCGGCGAAGTGTGGAAAAGGAAGGAGCAAAGCAAACCAGAGGTGTGGGCTGGAGCCGGTTTTGACCGGGTCAGGGGTAGGAGTGTATCTGGTGTATCATGGTATGGGGTGTGTGTGTGTGTGTGTGTGTGTGTTGTACGAGGGAGCAGTGGGTATGAGGGTCAAAGGTCCTGATGGGGGATGTGGAGGCCGAGGGGTTAGAACAAGTGGCCATGCGGGAATGTAGCGCCTGGCACTTTGCTTCCTTTTTCGGGTCTGCCGGGGGTTCCGTCATTTGGTTTGAAACGGCAAGCCCGCAGGAAGTGCCAGCCCAAAACTCCCGAACCCTGCACCCTCGAGGATAACCCCGCCAGCAGAGAAGTGCAAGCCCAAAACCCAGAACCCTGAGGGGAGGGGGGGGGGGGGGGGGGAGAGTACGTCATGTCCTGAAACAAGACCCTAAAAGCATCCTAAAAGCCCTAAGGGCGACACCGTGCAATCCCACACCGTACTCCCGGTTTGAGGCTCTCAGATGCTGCTGAAAGCAGTTCTGAGGGCACTCATGGTGCAGACTGTGTGAGGAAACATGTGAAGAGGCCCTTCTAGGGTGTAGTTCCTCTAGGTTGTTCGCTGCTAATGCTGTAGCACTGCTGTAGCACATATTCCGGCCGCATAGTTACTCTAGGTTGTCCGCTGATTTGTGCCCTCCCAAAGTCCTCAACACGTGAGATCTACAAGGCGGCTTGGCTGGAGGCCTGCAAGCACCCTAAACCCTTAAAGCTTAACCCTACCAACGGACATGCTTCTTGCGACGAAGTGCAGGAGACCTGAAACCCGGGTTTGAGGGTTGCAAGTACCGAGTTCTACCTCGAAGGTCTTGCCTTCGACATTCGGAAAGTAGTGCACCAAAAAATGCTCCTCTAATTGTTCCTGTCAAGACACGTGCGGAGTAGGAGTAGGAGGAGTAGGAGGAGTAGGAGGAGTAGGAGGAGTAGGAGGAGTAGGAGGAGTAGGAGGAGTAGGAGTGGTGGTGGTGGTGGTGGTGTTCTTCAAGCTCGTGACATTGAAACGCTGTTTGCTGCTTTGACTTTTGGGGATGCTGTTGTAACAGGCTCATGTGCAGACCAGGCACCCACATGTGAAATTGGCAACATGCAAGGTGGGGTTGAAGGGCGGGTTAGGAAGTACGGGGGGTGGGTGCCCGGGGGGGGAGGGGGAATTGGCGTCTGCCCCGGGCTTAAATGCCCCCTGGTCCTGATGCACCGTCCGCTCCCGAACACCTGGCCAAATAATGCAATATTAGATGTGGGGTCGGTCGGTGCGACCATCCCTCCAGTGGGCATGGCCTTTGCCATTGATGCTTGAATTTCACGAACGAAGAATGCGGGCTCACTCTTTTACACTATTGTTATGCCCGCGGGACAGGTGAAGAGAGCTCAAGATTATAGATGTCACGAATCGTGCTATTGAGGGGACGAAGTGAGTGCGTGAACTCGTTTATGTCATCATCTGTTTCACTGGCTAAAAGCCCCTGTCAAGAAATCCAAAGGCAAGGAATGCAATGATTTATTGTGCTTTTCCCGGCGCTCATTAAGTCTCTTATTGCGCCGGTATAATCATAATAACATAACTAACATAACGGTGAAGGTAAAGGGCCAATGAATAATAGTATAAGGACAAGCATAAATATAAATAAATAAATATAAATAAATAAATATATATATATATATATATATGCTTTTAAGTGAACGAAGCCAGCTATGTACTTTCCTAATCTTGTTCGCGGGCTTCTTCGCACGCTTATAAGATTATTGCAGTCACTTCGCTCCTTTCTGAATCTTATTCGCGTAGTGGCGTAGTAAGTAAACCAAAGCAAGGTCTCAGCAGGCCTCAAGGCTACGATCTGTGCATACTGCTGCCCCGTTGGTGCAGCTGCATTACTACTCTCGCGCACGACCACGATTTGCGCGTGTCATCTTTGCCAGGGGCTTGCTAAGGCAAATCTTCTCGATTGGTGCATGTCAGCTTTCAGGACGTTTATGCGGGCTCAGTGCCGCAGGGGCTTGCGAGAGATTTGAAGGAGTTGTCCGATGTCGGAAGAAGTGCAAAAGGGAAAACGAAAGAGAGATAGAGGGGGAGGAAGGAAGAAAAAACACAGAAATAAAGAAAGAAAGACAGGAAGAAATAAAGAGTTGCATGGAAGTTCACGGAGTTGCTTCTGAGTTGCCTTGGAGGCTTGAGGCAGCCTGGGTCCCGCTTGGTGGCAGTTTCCACAGCGCAACGCCCGGATCCTGGCAGTGCGAGCGACAGCCTACCAGCAAAACCATGCGGAACCTTGATGAACCATGCATCACCCTTGCGAAATTCTTCGTCTTCCCCAGAAGCCTCCATCAACATCCAGCTATGCCCATCTTGGCGGCACGCAGGCGTGTTCACTGCTTCACGGGGCGCCACGTTGCCACGAGCATCTGATCATATCTGATCCCATCCGTGTTTCACCAGTACACAAAGGCCGCGCAACGGCGGCGGCAGGCAAGAGGTTTTCAAGTTCAGCACGCCGGATGGGTTCTTAAAGCATCTGAAGAAGAAGCCAACCACTTGATCCGAAAGGATCAGTGAGACTGACAGTCCAACTCAGTATTGTTTCGTTCTCATGGGGCAACTCGGTAGACTGAGATGTGGAACTCCTGCGCGCTGGGAGAGCAGATGCTCTCGCGGCAGATTGCTGAACTGATGGCTGCGACATTCCGTTGCGCCAGTCGTTTCGCTCCCTGCTCCCCTGTTGCGGCCACTTCTCACATGCTAGCATCGCGTATCTGGCGGAACATAGAGGTCGAAGCCTGGCAGGTGAGCAAGGACTTTGAACATTTTGAGCTCAGGCACATCTTTGAGCAAGGCTAGATCGTCGAGTGATCTTTGCTAATTACCAGAACTAGACACTCTCGCAACTTCGCAACAGGCCTGATACATGTTGAATCTCGTTAGGGCGCCGTTTCGACGCTTCGGTGTGCCTGCACCGTGGATTCAGCGGATTTCCTTGGCAGGAGCTTTGGAGATGAGAACAGAGTCGCCTGGAAGGGGTTTGTATGATGTGTACGGTCTGCTTTGCCTCGAAAAACGCATTGGATTGAGGTGACTGCTCAAATGCATGTTAAGCTTGGCTCTATGGTCTATGGAAGCAGATAACTTTGCTTTTTGCTGACATGTAGAAATCACATGACAGGGGCATGCTGCTGCATGAAGTTACGAAGCAGGTCTACAGTGCTTAATCACTGCACTGTTCTTTTGAGTTAGACTAAGACTTGAGATATCTTGGGATGGAATCATGGACCCCGCAGAGCAGCGCCAGCGTGGAGTTGGCAGCTGAGATCGTCTGTCTTCGTTGTGGTACACCCGGAAATGAAAATCTTCAGGCGTGATGCCAAGCAAACTTAAGCAAAGAAGCAAACAAAGACCAAAGAGATCAACAAGAGACTTCTGTTTCGTCAGGAGCATTGTTCTGTTCTGGGTCCTTCCAAGCCGCGAATATGCTGACGGCCAAAGCCGCCACCAATCAAGAGCCCAAATTACTGCAAACAAGTCGCGACGACAAAACATGTCGGTGTGCTGCAGACATCCAGCAGCATGCAGCCATACAGGCCCATGGGATTCGACCGGCCAAAGAAGCTGGAATCCAAGTGCCTTGGCAGAGATGCAACACATTGTCGACGCACAACTTGCGTATTCGTGCGTGGCGATGAAATTGCCAGGCCGGGCCCGGGCACCACGAAGAGATCGAAAGACGAAGCCTTGTCAACACTGCTGGGCTGCAAGCTTCGCAAGGATCCTAAGCAGTCAAACTCAGGTGCCTCGTGTCTCCACGGCCCCGCTTGCCGAAGACACTAAGAATGCACCGAGCCAGCATTAGCCAGGTAGCCCCAGGTAGCCTCCTGACATCGACTGACCAGAAAAACATCTTGCCTCAGGTCGGCATCTGCAACTGGGGCTACCAGCTGCGGTCGGCGCTGCAGGACAACCATGCTGGTTTGGACGATTGAATAGTTCAAGGCCTAAGCAAGAACCACGTTTGAGTGAAAATAGAGAAGAGCTGCGCAAAGCCCCGGTGCGCCCCATGTTTGGAGTTCTGCCTGAACTTCTGTGAAACATGGAGCTCCGAATGCTGAAAGTCAAGCCGACATTGCTGGGCACGTAAAACACGTTCAAACTCCACCCAGCTCACTCTCGAGTTATGGAACAGAGTGGCCACATGGTCAGGATGAATCTTATTTGTTTTTGGTGACATCCCCTGCTTGCAAGCGTCAGAACTGCAAGATCTTCCACACACCACTTGCATGATTTTACCGGTGTCGTGTTGTTGTCCGCTTATGCATATGGAAGACATGCAGTTGGCAAATGCAGGGCAGCGACTTCTACAACAGCTCCTTCGCGTGGAGAGTTCGACACCTCATGCAAAGCCGATGCTGCTCCACGCACCTTGGTTTTCATATGTCTGAAATCGCATGGTGTCTCAGACTACACCTCCATCGTCGACTTACTATGATCATGTCGTGAGCAGGTGAAGGGACATTTGACAGACCTTGCTGGCGCTTTAAGCAGCGTACACATCGGTCATCGTAAGCACTGGTGTCTATCTTTCAGTATCATGATATAATGATATATGTAATGCGGGGCAGCCTCGGCCCCGACCCGACTGGGATCAAGAGAGAGCCCTCTGTGTCCTCAGCGTGGGGTTTGTTTCTTTTCTTTTCCCCCTTCCCGGGGCTGCGGGAGCGCGGAGACCCCTAATTGCGCTCTCAGCCGCCCAGTGCGAGCGAAAATCAACAAGAATGAACGAGGAACGGGCGGGGGGACGGGGCCCAAGCGCAGTGGGTGGGGGAAACCAAATGGAGTCCCTGTCTGCTGGCTTGCAACGACAGTTCGTCGGCTGTTCATTCTTGACATGCTTGCAGACCAGGACGATGATGTTGGCATTGGCCGTGGCGCTGGTCCTTCCCGACCTCTCAAAGCTCATGGACGTTGCAGAGAATGTAGCGAGCTTACGTTGAGCTTTGTCTGTGTCCATCGGCGTTCTAGCGCGTGTTGCGTAGTAGGCGTGGTACTCCGTACTCACCTCGCTGACCTTACTAAGCTTGCAACATGATCGAGGTGCTGCCTGATGCTGTTATGACGACTAGCATGGCGCTGTTTACCTTTGAGCTTGTGGCTCTGTCGTTGACAGATGCGAGTCTTGTCTGCAGCTGGACTAGCCGAGCCTCTCGTACCTGGTGGAGCCATGCAGAGCCTTCCTAGCCTTACAGAACGTAGCTCCCAATCGTTCCTGGATGTCGAAATACGCGTACTGTATGGCCCGTACTACATTTTCTTTTTTCGAGTGAGGATAAGCTAGGGGATGACGTCATCCCGTCTGGCTTATAGGGTTTTCTCGATGAGGATGGAGACAAGGATCTCACCCAGAATGGACATGGACACAACAAGCTTCATTTCCACTCTACTTGACAGAGCACATGACTGCAATCGACCAAAGCAATCATCAGGTACAATGCGTTTCGCATCCCATCAGCCCCAACATTGTTGACGAGGTACACGCCATGAGACCAGTACAGCGATAGATATTGGTGTGTTGAAGCCTAGTTCCACAGCCCGCGCGCACAAGCAAAAACAATTTACCAAGGTGTCGCACGTGCAAACATTCGACAACACTGATCTATGAGTGAACGCGCATGAGAGGAACTATTTGTTCAGCTTCTTCCAGTGCATGGACATGGTTGGAACAGCATCCATGGTGTTTGACATCTCCTTTCTCCTGGGGGCGGATGTCACGGAGCTTGTCCCTGAGGATGTGTGCGAATGATAGCTTCCCAATACGTCCCAATCTGACTCCCACATGGCCAAGGCCCACCCTGCCAGACCAAGAGACTGCCCAGTCTCGCGTAATGCTGCTGCGAGCCAGTCGCGCTGCACGGGTTGGAGCCCGCGACTGTGTCGCATAAGGCAGAGTTTCTATCATTGCAGGAGGCTTGTTGATCTTGTTGCGTGTGTCATTCTTGACCCTGCTCCTCAGGTGCTGGCAGGTTGACCAGAATACTCCGTTTGTGCCGCTGTTTGATTGATTTAGATGATGACGATGTTAATGGCAAGCGTAGCCGAAAGACTGACCCGGAGCAATTGAGGGACGAGGCCGCAATCTGCACCGCTGCTTATCGCTGCCTTGTTTCGAGGAAGATTCCAACCGTGACAACTGACCTTACATGATGCAGGCCAATCCCAAGCGAAACATTGCGATTCTCGGCCAGAGTGCATGGTGTGTCTCCACCTCGTTGGTATTCGTTATGCTTTGCAGGGTGGACTTGAGTTTAATAACTTTCTGTGATGTGCCATGCAGCAACGGCCATGGCTGGCACACCTTGGAAGCACGAGTACTGGCACTGGCAAAGCATAACAACAATGCAGGGCATTCAAAGACCCAACAGATCCCAACAGCATGGTGGTTCGTTTGGCTATGACAGCAGCAACGTGCAGCAGCACCTGCAGTCCAAGACGTTTGATCAGTTTGATCCGTTTTGATTCGAAACGCTACTCGTATGCTGCTGCAGTCCATCTCATGCACGGTTCCGCCCCCCAGTTGCATCGCGACTCGGTGATCCACTTCTGCGCCGGCTTGCAATTGACTTGCTAGCTATTTTTCGCTGCCTTACAGCCTCAATTCGATGTTCGATCCTCATCTTTTCCAGTTCGATGTCATTGTGCTCCAACCTCGCATGGTTCACATATCTCATGCAGTATATGTATATAGGTACATATATATATATACATATGTTTATGTAAATATACATATACATTTATATGTATACACTGTCCGGGATTGTGAACAGCCCCGTGCCTATCTTGGCGACGGATTTGTAGCAGAGCCGTTTGCCACAACCCATGACCACTCGCCAACCCTTTGAAGAGGTCTCCAGTTCAAGCACGCGTCGCACGAGGGAGCACGACAGGACCCAAGGAAGGGTTGGGACCCTGCGACATGCCCCTTGCTGACCCACGGCATTCCACAGCCAAATGAAGGCTAAGTAAGGTCGTTGGCTTTTGATTCAAGAAACGGGGCGTCCGGGGGCCTCGGCGAATTTCGCAAGACACGGTTAAACACAAGTCCTTGTCGTGCTTCTCGTATTCTGAACCACAGCTCTTGCCAGTGAGATCGATAGAATTCGACAAAGTCCTTTTCTTCTCGTGCGGCCTGTTGCTTCTGCTGACTGAAGTGGCGTGACAACATGTAACAGCTTGAGATGTCTGAAGACCATGCGCGGACCTGGTCATCTAAGGAAGGTCATCTCCGTAAGGTTGGGAAACCTGCTTGCTACCAGAGTTGCTTCCCTGACCATCTTTCTGGCCATGGCTCCTGAGCTTTGTTAATCAACAAAACGGGAAGACATTTATCATCATTTGTCCCATGAGCATGCAGAATATATGCAGAGTTGTGAGGTAATGCCATTGTTCGACGTGATGGCGTTTCCGCAGAAGGTAGTGGAGTGGAGTTTACAGCTTCACAGTGTTTCACAGTTGAGTTGGAACAGTTTTAGCGTCAACGGCATGGTGCCAGGACCTGTCTTTGGACGCTTGGGTTCAGGAGGCCTTGGCCTTGCAGCATTGATCAGAGGTTCTGGCAATTTCTGGCATGTTCTGGCGGTTCTTACAAGATTTGATTCTCAGCGTCAGTGAGGTGAGAGTTAAATGAGCTTTTCAGGTTTTGTCAGATTCAGTGCATGGAAAAGTTGCCAGTGAAGAGAAAGCTCAGGGAAATTTAGAGCTTTCTCGCGGTTAGATTCAAGATGGTTAGAGCCTGAGTGTACCCAGCGGATTTCTGGGGATCTAGTGTTTTGCAGAGGGCCCAGGTTGCCTGGTGACATCGAGACAGCGCACTACAGTGGCCTGAAATCTGGAAAAGATGTCATATCAACGACTGGCGAGCTGCGAAGAGAACGACAAACATAGAATCGAACAGAGTCTCAGCACCTGAAGAGCGCTCTGTGCAAATTTGGATACGAGAGGGTTCGCAGATCATTTGCAGATCATGTTTAGATCATATGCAGATCTGTGTGGATCCGTGGTCAAACACAGCAAAAGCCATTCCAAGAGCGCCGAGAGTCTCTTCGCGCGCGAGCTCCTGTGGTGAGTCGTGAGGTCTTTTCGCAAAGCCCTCCAAGCCAAAAACTGAAAGCATAGTAGAACCTCTTGATACCTCTGCCACTACCTCAGAGCCTTTTTGTGGCGTATGTTCCCATTGCCCTCACTGAATCTCAATATGTCTCAATGCTGCCGCCTTCGGCCCTTCTCATCGTGCTTTGTGTGCAAGGGCAAACAATTGCCCTCCAAGCCCGTGTGCGCCAGGACACTCAAACTCCGAATCCCGGCCTTAACATGCCTGCTCGTCTGCGTGAGGTATGGCGTGGAAAGCACCCAAACGCACACAATATTCAAACAGCTTCGAAAGCGGTGTACATGTACGTATGTTTCTTCTGTGTGTGTATACACATACATGAAATGTTGTATATATATCTATATATATATATATAGACTTCTTTACATACATACAATCGAATTCTCGTTGTTGTCGGCTCATCAGTTGTGTCAGTTGTGAGCATCGTTGTGTTTCGTCACGGAATACCCAGTCTGGTAGACGGAAAGAGACATCAACCACCCAGCTCTGGGCCATAGTCGGGATATGTCGGTTTTCACGTGTCTCGTCTTGGCGCAATTTATTTCAATAAGTGGAATATATGATTTTGCTATGTCCGGGAAGGGCCTGTATTGGTTTGAGGGAGGCTCTGTCAGCTCGTAGCTACTCGTGCTCCAGTCAGGAAACGTGCTGCGTCAGGTTTCTCATACGAATCAGCATGATGAGGCTGCAACCGTGGCTGAGCGTTGAGCCCAGAATGTATTGCAGGAGTCATGCAGTAGAACGACGACGGCCTATAACATGAGGGCTCTCATGCGCATCCTGAGATGTCCCGAGGCTACGCAAAATGGCCAAGTTCTTCGCCCACCACAGTTGGAGCCTTACAGTGGCCGTTGTGCTTCTTTCTGTCATTCGGGTCTGATATCGCATGTCGAGATCACAGTTCCAGCCTGAATTTTTCCCACTTGAACACTTAGGTTATGGACCCTTTGCAGCCTGCAGAGGGCACCTGGAGGGGCACCACCCAAACAACTTTGTCTGCAGCAAGTGGTACCAGGCACATCGCCGCTTCGCGGCGTGCACGTTCTTACCCCGCGTCGTGACATGTTAAATGGTGCTGTGTTTTCCCCATTTTCTCCTGCATTGCCAGGATTGGGGCCAGGTGAATTCAGCACCGGTCCGGAACGCCTCTTCCTGGATGGTGCGAACATCGACGTTCCAGGTAACCTTTGACATGAGCAGGCACAGCTCAGACGCGTAGAGCGAACCGTATCTAGCGACTGTGTGCACTGACCTACCAAGGCCTGTGAAAGTAAAAGCTGCTGTGGCTCTGTTCAGCATGTTCTTTACGGTCTGCATCCGAGAATGCCGAAATGGTTCCTGGTCGCTGCTTCTCGCAAAACCGCAGATTTGCTGTCAGTTGAGGTCTGCATCATGCTTTGCTTTTCCATTGCACTTTCATCGGTGGTGACTGACCTGGCTGTAACGCCGCTTGAGCGGATGCTCGGGACCGCTGGTGATTTACATGTAGGGTTGCAACAAGAAGAGGAGTGCTCGGTATTCTTGGTGCTAGCGCATAGTTTTGGGTGTGTAAGCCCTTGTTTGCCTGGTTCTTCCGCACCCGTCCTCTTCCACGTCTGCGTCCATGCCTCCCTTGCATCCATTTGGTCGGAGAACAAGAAACTGGGACTACGCAAAAACAACTCTTCTGCACGTCTACGCCGCTGTTGTCCAGGCGTTCGCCCAAAGCCTGATCCCGCATTACCCGTGTGCTGCACTTGTTTCACATTGCTGCCAGGGACAGAGAAAGACCCGACAAGCAGAGTCTGCAGACTGGAGCCCATAATTTGATTCCAAATCATCCGTGTGTGGCCTTGCAAAAACAGATTGTTCGCGTTTTTTTTGCTTCGAATGACATGGCACCGTATTTTCCATGTGTTGCACTTGCTTGAGATTGATTCTGCATTTTTCCGAATCCCGCCGCCCGCAAAAGCATAGAGTTGTTTGACTTGCTTTGCATGTTTGCTTGGAACATCATTGTTTCAGGGAGGCAGTTCGGATACATGGGACGGGCTTTTCTGGGGCGGCACAGCCACGCTTGCGAGCCTCCTAATAAAGAAGCGAAGTGGGAGGGTGGCGCACCGTGCATGTTTGGCAAGTCCTGTTTGGTCAGGACTGTGCGGGAGATAGCTGCCACGGTGTTTCGATTCAGTCGGGGTCTCGGTTTATCCCTTCGTGCTTGGGTAGAGCAAAGCAGAAGTTGAATAGTGGCGAAGAGGGGCGGAGAGGAGTCTGGCATGCCTACCCGAGGCTCTATAGTGATCGGTCAAGAGGAGGAGGAGGACTCTCAATCGGAGACCACGGATATTGACAATGCTGGTGAGATGATCTTGCTGGAGAAGGTTGGAGCCTGAACAGATGTCAAGCCACAAGCTGGATCATCCCACACCATGACTGTTGAAGTATGTTGAAGTTGAGAGGTTGTTCATGGGGTGCGGCTGAATGCAAGTCTTGTTGTTGCCGTGTGGCCGTCGTGGAATCATTGAATCAGATGTGCTAGAAAAACCCTGCGTCCCGGCATGGCGGGTTCCGATCGAAAGCAAGAATTGGAGCTCAAGCTGCAGCACATCCAGGAGCACGTCGAATCACGTAGCTGCCGTGTTTAAGTATGTTTACTTTTTGTTTTGTGACAGCAAAGATTTGTCAGGTGCGTAAACCACACGATGCCTTGTGAGCTGATTCTTGTGTTGCATCCTTTAGAGCAGCTAATAGCGTGCGAATACAGTTTGCAGCAATAGGTGGCAAGAAGCAACGCATCGGTTGTTGCAAACAAAGTCGAACGCTGGAACGCAGGAGCTGAAAGAGGGCGCCGCTGTGCCAGATGAATCGTTGAGCTATCCGCGTGCAAGCGGGCTCTCTGATCGATGCATCATCACCTTTTCGGACGGACGTGAAATAGAAGTCATTGTGGGCACATCAAAGAACATCCAGAAGGCTGTCATTGAAAAGATCTGTCGAATCGTGGATTCTGCGTACTCTGGAGTGGGCAAGCGCAAGCGACTCGATCAATACGATGCTGTGGATCGACGCTTGCTTGTGAATCTATAGGTTCTTGGAGTTGCACGGCAAAGGCCAGCAAAGTAATACCACCTGAACGTCGAACCTGTCCACGCGAGCTATGTCAAGCATTTTAAGTTTTGAAGCAGCTTGCCAGCAATCTCCCGACCTGAATCAGGTCTAGAAATGGGCGATGCTGGTCCAGCGGCAAATCGAGTGCTGCATCTCGCTTTCAAGGCAGGTGAGTTGGTTGGCTGCGCGAGCTCGACATTCAGTCCTGGCTGGACACCTGACGGATGTGGGCACTGGGGCCTTTTAGCGGTTGATCCAGAGCATCAGAACTCCGGCGTTGCTACCGCACTTGTTATCGCTGCCGAGCGTCGCCTTGCAACCGCATGCGGCGGCATCCAAATTGAATACCAGTACACGGAGGGCGAAGCCTTTTCGCACAGGCGCGGGTTGGCTGCGTGCTCAGACTCCATGTTGCACAATTGACTTCTGCGCATTTCTGAAGCAAGTATTTGCTTGGGAATTGAGTTGCGGGTCTCCGTACAGCTTGCGTCTAGATGTGGTCCTCGGATTCATAGTCGTAGGTGCAACCATAAGGGGGGTCAGGTTGCTTCAATGCATCTCTATCTGAAGGTTTTCAACTGGCAAAGTCACACTTCTTGAAAACTGGAGTTCTACGGAGTCTGCCTATGGTGTCTTCCTGCAAAGTGGCTGCAGAAGTGTGCGAGCACACCACTGTTATTGTGCTCTTACTATTGCCAGGGTTGATGGCAGAAGCTTGCTCGTGCGAAAGGCATGTTGACACAGCCTTTCTTCCTGATCGGCGGACTTGATCGTGCAGCATCCGCCGTTCTTGCGGTTCTGGTTCGCGAAAAGCACGTTTGTGGCTTAGATATCCTTACTTACTGGTATTCCGTGCTTCTGCCGACTCCGAACTACAGTTAAGATAATTTTTCCTGAAGCAGGCCTGCAACATCTTGCAACATCTTGCAGCTGCCTCACCCTGACCGTTCCTCTTCAAACACCAAGTGCTGTCGCAATGTTCGACCGGCAGATACCGGCAGGCTTCGGGACTGGTACGAGGAGAAGCTGAAGTTTCAGGGAGGCCGACCTGATCTGCAACCTGGACAGACAATCTTCAGACGATGCAGGAAGAGCACCTTGGCCTCAGATCTTTGAGGAACATCGGATTAACATGTGAGTCCGAGACTAAAAAAGAGAGACTTTGTTTTACAGCCGATGAGCTCTTTCGAGGCATTCCTGAGGCCGAGCAGCAGCGTGGCCACTTCCGCCGCCTCCAGGAGACAAAAAACCAGAGACAAAAAGAGAACAAAGAGAGAAAGAGCTCACCCAGAAAGAAACAAGAAATGCAACAACGCCAAACATGATCAAGCAAGTGTGAAACGAAAGGTGCTCCAGCAAGGTGTGGCACCTTTGGATGACAACTGTGCTTGGGGGTTCTTTCGCGAAAACCTTCGGAGGAATTCGAAAATTTCTTGAAGCTTCAGCTGGAGGAGATGAACTCCAAGGCTGGCATGGCGCTGTGCACCGTGCCGCTATGAACCATGCCGGCCAGCTTTGATTGTGCAGGAAAGTACGATGCAGGCTGCAGCAGCTACGACGGCTACAGCGGCTACAGCGGCTACAGCGGCTACAGGGGCTACAGGGGCTACAGGGGCTACAGGCACTGGCTCTATTGAAGAGAGTGAGCGGGGCCCTGTGAGGTGTGTAATTGTTTCCTTAGACTTTCTTATTCAGGTCGGGCGTCAATCTTGGGAGCAAGCGCACGCAACGTGTTTGAGGATGAGGGCTCTGCCCCGGACAATCCCCTGCTTTGTCGACGTCGGACGCCTGAAACCAAGAAGCCGAAACGTTCGTATTGAAGAAGCACAGCAACCGCAGACACTGGATCTACTTACTATCAGCAACAACATCAGTGAAAGTGTGGAGCATTGCTACTTCGAGTTGTTGGGAGGCAGATGGCTTTCAAGTCTTGAATAGAAAAATCCCTTCCCGCTTCCAGTAGCTCTACCGTCTCCCCGCAAAACCCCAATGGAACTGTACTCAATGTTATATCGAGTCTTGCTCACGACCAGGACAAATATTGTTATTGTTTTTTTGGAAGTCAACATTGGCAGACAACATCGGAGTCGGATGACATATAGGACCATATAGGAAAGAGCAGGTACGGGATTCCAATCACAACCAGCAAAAACGAGAGGAAGGTCAGATATAAGCAGGGTTAAGTTCTCGCGCATTCCTCAACAAAGAGCACCTTGGGTTTCCGATTGGCCTGCCGATGAAACCAACAGGAAGAACTGCCTCCAGACTATACGCCCTCCTCAAGCGGGCTTGATGCTGCTTTGTATCTGCTTGGTGCATGTCCTGACTGTCCTCGTCAGGTGGGCTATCTGGCGGTTACCCGGTCACTGCGTGAGCCGGTTAATGTAGAATGTTCGGAATCCGATCTACAATGCGGCGACGCTGGTGCGAGCTGTCTTCTCTTTTCCTGCCCGCCGAAGAATCAGGCAGAGCTGCCTATGTACAGGCTCAAGGCTCCATCTGATAATGTGCCTTGTTCACGAGGACCTCTGCCTCGTGCTAAAGTACTGTACACAAGTCATGTGAGCAAAAGCTCATCGCGTGTGAAGTGCTTATTCTTGTTCTGAGGGTTGGGGAATTGGGGCCGCGGGGGGGTGGGGGGGGGGGATATCGTCAGCCATCTAGACCATCTTTCAGGCAGCATGGAGAGGGGATAAAGTGGCCGTCATGAGCCCTTCTCAACCGTATGATAGCAACAAGTCTTGCCCAAGTTTGCATTGCGAAGGATGCGTTTCCGCGATTCTGCAGACCTTGCTTGTGCCCTCAGCTCCTCAGCAGGTTGTTGAGAAGTTGTCCGCGATCGCAGCAGTACACGCGAGCGTCGAGCAAGTGCTTGATACTCAGGCAGGACCATGTGCCTTCACTCGTGGCATGTTGCTGCGCGTTGCAGTGACAAGAACCTGGCCCTTACAGGATATGGATGAGGAAGACATCGGTATCCTGAGTATGCTCCATGGTGAGCGAACGAACAGAGCGAGTCAAATGAGCCTTCCACTCGACAAGGAGAATGGGGATTCACTCTGTTGGCCAGCAATCCCACACCCCTCAACGGCTGCTGCATCCTCCACATTGCACTAGTAGACTAGGGTGTGCCCTTCCACAACTTTCCGAGTCTAGATGTCAAGGTCTTTATGTATTTTGTAGGCGAATCACAAGGTGCAGTGTTGCTTTGGCTGATCTGTCCAGTAGCACACCAAACATTATCAAATTGAAGCCGTGCCCTAGTAGTTTTCGCATGGGCTTTGCACTTTTCCGGCAAAAAGCTTCAGCGCCGTGGACCACTCCTCCGAACTTCGTGTTTGACTCAGAGCTTCACCTCCGCAACGTCTTCTGAAGCTCTGCCTTCAAGAGCTGCTGAGGTGGCCTCAAGCGCCCTCCAACTTGAGAACTCCTAGGTTGTTCTAGACGCATACATGGTATATAGGCTAGGCATAGGTGTAGAAGGCCCCATGCTTGAAAACCTAGATGGCTGCAGCAGTCGCTTCCTTGGACTTCATGTACACACTGCGTGCACAGGTCTTGAGCATGAGTTCGTTATTCTTTATCTTCGTTCAGAACATCTCAGAACAGTGCAGGCATCTGCAAATTCTGCAAGCTTGCATCATCTTGAGCAGGAGAGGTCGCAGAGTCGCATTCTAAGGCGGGCCCTTACAACTTCAGGTGCTCGAAGGCTGCACAGCGTTCTCTCGTTGCATGCATGAGAAGCTTCAGGATAACGCCTGACCTGAGCCTGGAAGCCAATGGAGTTGATGAAGAAACATACAACAGCCTGAGATTCAATGTGCTGCTCGGCGTGCAAAATCAATCCAGTTCCTGATTCAACCAGGGCGATGTGTTTCCATCTCTCGGCATCTCCGAGGTTCGATCTCACACCGTTCCACCTCAGCAAAATCGCATTTCGCACCATGTTCTCGCACGCATCCAGCTCGGCACCCAGCTGTATGCAGCTGTGCCAGCTATGCAGACACAACTTGCACGTGTGACGTGTCATAGGCTTGTGCATGCATGTGTATAATTATATATATATATACATATATATATATATACATAGGTGAAGGGGTCCAGTATGTCAGATGTGACCGTCGTTTCCTGCTCCTTGAGGAGACTAAGTAAACGAGCACTGAGTTTTCTCACAACAACCTTCTGCTGCTTGCGGTGAAAAGAAAAAAGTGATGTGGACACCGCTTGCGATTTACTCGAGATAAACAAAACAGATTCGAATAGGCAACGGTGCACTCTTTGCGATTCAGGTTCGGAGAGCATTAGGAACACAAAAAAAACATGGTGGCACTGTTTGCGGTTCAATCTCGGAGAGCATTCGAAACAGAAAAGGCGATGGGACATTGCTTGCGATTTAGCAATTCAAGAGAAACGGGAGCACAAAATTTGATGGAGACACTTCTGGCGATTTCGCTTTCGGAGACCGTCAAGAACACATTTCCCGTAACTGCAAAATAGTAGGATTTCAGGTGTTAAGGGCCTTTGTTTCCCTCGCTCCTAAAGTTCAACAACTAGGGTTTTCGGGATTTTGGGCCTTGCCGAAACTCCTCAAACCCTACAATATTGAAGTCCTGCCTCTCAACAAGAAGGACTATATAACATACATATATATATATACACATGTAACATTTGTATATATACATGTACATATAGATATATGTGTATATGGATCTGTATTTATGCTGGCAGGCTCTGCGATTTTTTGTGGTGCTGATGGAGAAGAAGCTCTGCTGCGCAGTTTTATCGCCGCCGTGCAGAAGGCTTCAGTCTACACAGGGGGAAGCAGAGAGAAGCGTGGGTTTCGCGACAGTTCCGTGAGAGTTGCGCCTGAGGGCTACCCCGAGAATCCATTCCACAACTTCGGGCATGCCGTGGATGTCCAAACCACCATCGCCGCACCGCTTGGGCTTGCCGCTGCTGACGTTTGTTGATGGATCTTGTGGGTGGGTGTCTTCAGGTCAAGATGATGAAACAAACAGAAGCAGAAGATTTTCTCAGTTGGCAGCTCAGAAACATGTAGCACATTGCAGAACGCAGCGCATGGCGAGTAGTGGTAGCGATGCTTGAAGCCCAGGCCACCTCGAGCAGCATTCTCCCCAGACATCCATGATCATCCATGTTTACTTCGGTTAGGTCTTGTCAGTCTTGTGTCATTGCCTGACCGTCATATCCAGTTCCAGGCACTCACTAAACCACACAGACGCAAGAACTTCACAAATTCTCTTTCAGGTGCTCTCTGGTTGTTGCAGGGCTGGGCCATGACATCGGACATCCGGGCCTCAATAACGGCTTTTTGTCCGAGGCCTCCAACTTGTGGCTCACATACGCTTTAACACGTTAAATCAATCTGGCTAGATTCGATTGTAGGTGGGCCACGAGCTCGCCATCAAGTACAACGACCGGTCGCCACTGGAAAACATGTGGCCAGCTAAGCATGCTCAAGCAATCTCAAGATTCTCAAGAAGCAGAGTTTGCAAAATTGACCGTTGAGCGTTGAGGCACTGCTCTGTGCTGTACCAACTCTTGGCCAAGCCAGAGACCGAACTCTTCGGCTCCCTCAGTGACGATGACTACAAGGAGGCCGTTCGGCAGATCCTTAGTGGGGAGAGTGCCTGACATGTATTGTCGAGCTGAAAGGTACGCCGTATTTGTGTGGAGACGATACTGCATACCGACATGGCATGTAAGGTGCCCAGAATGCCAGAGTCATAAGAATCAAGCATCTGTGTGCAAGAGCTTGTTGTGTGTTCCAGCCACAGTGCTTGTATGTGCCTGTACTGCACTTGGGACCTTGTAATCGTAGGACTGCCGTGGTTGCTAGAAGGGCCATGAATTGCGCATACTAAAGTCCACCACCTCGCTTGCGTCTAAGCCGCACAAACGTCCCTTCTGCATGGGCCGCCCGTTAAACCACGACACTGCGTCAACACTCCTGCGGCAAAGAAGACCAAAGGGCATGGCACAGTGGTGATCTCTCCCTTTCCTGATTCGGGGAGCTTTGTCAACAGGACATCGCAAAGTGCCCCAACTAAAGACATCTTGATGCTGTTCTTCGGCATTCGGCATTCGGGCTAAGCGACACGATGCTCCTTTTTTGTTTGGCCCGCTGAGTGCCGCATGATTCCGTTACATACTCGTGTTTGTAAACAACAGCAACTTGCTCTCGGTAGTTACAGCAGTGTTACAGCCTCTGAGTAAGGCATTCTGTAACGCCTTTGTACATTGTGCGTGTTTTTTCATCTACTCCGGGTGTTTCCATTGCCGAAGCGCGGGTCTCAATGTCGGTTGTGCGTCGTTTCAAACGAAACCAAACGACTCGTTTGATTTCGCGTTTCGCGCAAGGTTTCGCACTGCAGCCTTTCACCTTCTGTGCGAGCATGTTTTTGTGTTTGGCCGTCATATTGTCTACTCAAGGTCACCAGAACATGGTGAAAGATCTCAACCTTCTGTACCAGATTCACGCCGAGGTCCCTGGGTGCTGCTTGTAATGTTGGTGACATTTAAAACCGCAGTTGAGCAAGATGACCGCAGGCCTTGCGGCAGTCGGCTTCACCGCAGAGCACGAGGGCTAGCACCAGACAAAGCATTGCGAGACCTGGCACCGTGCTCACACAACCGCATACAATTGCGCTGTCCACTGTGTTAGTCAGTGTGTTACTTGGAAATTCAGGCAGGCGGCGGAGGAGCATGTTGGAAGGGGCCACTGACCCATCTCAGATCTTCGCAGCGCGCGGTGCCCAAGCGCGGCTATATGAAGCCCTGACTCTTTCAATTTATTACTGTAGGGACCGACCCTGTACGGTCTGGTGGTACATGTTGCGTGTCGAAAAAACGATGAAGCAGAGCCGAAGAATTCGCGGCGACAACAAACCAGAAGAACCAAGTCTGATCGGTTCGAGGGGCGAGGGGTTTATTGCGTGCCTTTTGCGACCCCCAAAATTCCTATGAGCGTTTCTGATTCAAAGTGCACTGCTTGGGTTCTGAAAAGTAAGGCCGGAGCACAAGATGCTGGTGATGGAGTCGCTCCTGCACTCGGCTGATGTGTTGGGCACTCATGTCATAGCAGCCGTGAGCTTCTGAATGTTGAACGAATGTTGAAGTGCTTGTGAGGTTCTTTGTATGCCCCAAAAAGAACGTCACTAGACAGGCCCCCCCCCCCCCCCGTATTCCGGTGTCCCCTGACAGTCCCCCCATCCCTCCTACCCTGCCAAAAACCCGGAACCCTAAGGCTATACAACCCTGAACCCAAACCCTGTACCCCAAAACAACCCCTTATGCCCTAAAGCCCTACAGTCTGAACCTCTGAAACCCGAAAACCGACACCCCACGCCCCCGCCACAGGGGGCCCAGGGGTGCCAAAACGTCGAAAACCCTACACCATAGATGTGCGCCCACCACGCCCGGCCCAAGGGGAGCGGACCCTGAAACGCCCTCTCGGGTTCTTGACAGAGCTGAGTGCCTAAGTTTCGGATGAACCCTGAATAAGCCATCCTTGCAGCCATCTTATCGATTGCGTTCAGCAGACGTCAGCAACCTAAAATCTCCCAGAACCCAGATAAATCATCAACAGCAAATACATGCGAAAGTATATACTTACATACTTGTACATACGTACATATATACATCTACATGTGTATTTACATATGCAAATACATATACATGTACATATAAACATATATACGTATATACGTGTACATATATATATATATACACACACTTGCACATGTATGCAGACGATATTTATGTAGCCTTTGATGCGGGTTCTGCAGGCAAAGTGATCGAATATGGGGGGGGCATTTTCGTGCAACCTTCAGCGGAAAGGCCCGGTGCCATTTTTCAGGAAAGGATCCACCGAGGGCTGTCCACACAAGACAAGAATCCGGATGTAAAAGATGCGCTGTATATATGACAGGATCTTCGTATGCAATGAATGGGCATACAGAAGCCGTCCACCGCACACAATGGCATAGATTCAAAGCTTAAGGTGCAACATGCCAGATGCTGGATGAGTTGGTGGATTGTGTGTTGCGTACACAAGCGAGCTCAGTTTATGCGCATCTTGGGTTGGTCTCTTTCCTTGGAAGTCGAGTGGCTTCATTGGTTGAAGAGCAGCTGCTGCGCAAGCAAAGGTGTGCCAACCCTTGTACATAGGAAGGTGGCGACCAACTGTTAAACTGCCTAAGCACTCAGCATCAGTGGTCATCGCTTCGGGGTCGGTTCCGTCAAGCTGGAGCCATGTTTCGTTTACAGCAAGCCAAAACCCGTGCCTCTAAAGCCCGAAGAAATGAAGGAAGAACATCATGTCAAAGTGACACGAACAAGGGTGCCACAAGAAGTGCACTAGCGTCGGCTAGCATCATGAAGGCGAAACACAGGGAACCTGTACAATGACATAAGTCAACTAGCAGCAGTTGAGCTTGGAGCTTTGGCTTGCTCCTCAATGATGCGCCGCTGATGTATACTTTGGCCCCCCTGAAGCACAAGGTCAAACCCAGCACGAGAGTGGCCCGTGACGCAGATGTGGGCAGAGAAGTGCCTGGAAGAGTTTTTCGCTCAAGGTGACCAGGCGCCCAGCTTGGAGTAGTTGGCTTTTCCAATGTGTCAAGGATTGTGTACAACCAGTTTCAGGAACGCAGCCGGGGCATCCCGGTGCAGTTCCTGAACGACAGGCAGAAGTCGCTGGGCAGCACAAGCCGTGTCGGTGCGGCGGTGCTGCTGGTTTTGCGCCTCTAGACTCTAAACTAAGGCTGAATCGCCCTCATTCTCAGATTGGTTTCATAGAGTGACTCTTCTGCATCCAGCTTGGATCACTAGTAGGCGAACCCTTGCGAGCATTGATGCTATGAACCGTCTGGCTGTGAACTTGCATGTGCAGCTTTGAAACTTTGAAACCCCGAAGCACCAACCCCTCCAGTGAAAAATCCCCATCAACCGACGCTGCCCAAAGCTGGGAGCGCAGCGGTCTCGGCCTTGAAGCCCCGTCCCCGAAAGGAAGAAAAATGGTAATGAAAAGAGAGCGGGAGCTAAAGAGTGAGCGGGAATTAGAGGGACACAGACAGAGGGCCGCGGCAAAATTTGCAGCCTGGCAGCCACCTGCTCGTTCTCGCGCTTGCTCTCTCTCACGCTCTCTCTTCGTAAGTGGTTCGGACCCCTCACCTCGTGCCCGCAAAATCAGAAGAAGACAGAGATGGATGCCAACAGACTGACACTGCAAGTTCTCAGAGCTTCAGAACTTCAGGTTCATGATCGCCCCTCTTGTTGCAGCGCAGATATGGCGCGAGCCTGTCACTGGCAAGTGACTTGTGTTCACATGCTGTGTTCCTGAAGCTGTCGCAGGCTGTGGCCGAATCTGTTTGAGTACGGTTCCTGCCTGGCCATGAACATCGGGATGTGGCAGGCAATGCACCGTCCTGCGAGAGTAACAACATGTAACAACACAGATTCCCTTCGCAGAAGGAGCTCTGGGAAGTTGAGACAGATCCTTCAGAAGATGAACTTGAGAAGGCCCGACCGGTACAACATGTCGGGCGAGTGGGCAAACATGCGGGCGGCGGGCATGCGTGTGCACCTGTGTGGACGTGGGTGACTGTGTGTGCGTGTGCGTGCATTCGTGATATTCGTGCATGCGGGGCGTGGGTGTGTTTGTGTGTGTTTGTGTGTGTGTGTGTGCGCGTGTCAACTCCAGATTGCCAAGGGCTAGGACGAGACTTTGGGAACACTACAGCAGGGGGATGGGGGGGGGGGGGGGGGGTGGCCTGAGCAGTTGATGATTGACAAAGCAGAAACGTTTTTTTTTTCCGCACTCTGTGGAGGTCTGCACGAGTGTGCTCCAGACAACATTCGTTCAACGTGCTGTCTGCGGTAGGAGAGCCTACACAGTTTAGCAAGCAGCTGCCAAATGGTATTAAGCTGCCTGTCACCGTCATGCCTCACTGCGAGGAATTCTTTGCATTCTGTCTAATCTTTGTTTGGCTATTGCGGGTTCGATCTAGCGTCGCGCAGTCGGCGTTGTCCAAAGCAGCTTCCGCTGGAAGAAGTGTAGGCGCTTGCCCTCCTGGAGCGTACCAGATGATGAAGGCATTTGCTTGTTTGCATTTTGTGTGACTACTGTATCCTTTTCTGTGTCGAATGTGTAGCTTACCTTTTTGTCTGCTGATGTATAGTGGTTGCTGTGAGTTTTTTGCGTTGATGCTGACGGTTCCGTAGCTGATGCTCAAGATGTCAAGAAAGCCAACCTTTGTGTGTGTGCGCGCCAATTGCTTGCTGCAGGCGGCAGGCGGTGTCCAGCCATTTTCGAACATAAGCAGAGGGCATGGTAGAGCCAAGTTATCCACTTCTGCTGACAACAGGGATTGATCAGCCTTGCGTACTTGCTCCTCCTCCTGCGACACAGTTCACAATTCACGCTGCGTATGGCACTGTCTTTGGACATAGCGCAAGCCCGAAGTTTTCTCCGCCATTCAGCCGTGTGTTCGGAGTGATTACAAGCGTTGTGCATCAAGCTGGGTTTGCGACCGCGGCTGTCTTGTATCTTCCGTATCATCACCTCTCATACAGCCGACAAAAAACGCTCGACGTGTCAATGTGGCCGTGCATCCGTCTCTCTCTCTCTCTCTCTGTGGGCGTGCGAGTTGTCAAACCCTTTTTCAGCAAAATAGGGGCCACTGTAAGGAGCTGCTGCAGTCTAGTTAGCAGCACAAAGGTTGCACACCAGAAAAATGGGGCATGATCACGCGCACTTGTGCGTGCTTCGGACATTCAGGTGCATGCGCCGCTTCAGTTCACTTGACGTTTTTCGCATGGTATGTGCTTGCATGATAAACAGATGCACCTGCATGATACTTTCGTTTGTCCTCGTCCCCTAGCTTAGTTTTCCCTTCGTGTTTATCCCGACAGCACAATGTGACGCATCAACTTTTTCTGAAACATGAAAGTGGCCCGGAAGATTGCTCACAGTATGCATCGGAAGTCACGCAGCATTCTGAGGTGACTTCGCGAGTGGAGCATGTGCAAGAGATGCTGTCGTGCGCTGCCATGCGCATTGTAACCTAATGTGTTGACGTAGGAATGTGTGCGCTTTAAGAATGATGCATTGGCCGCTGGATGTGGCAGCAGAGCCTCGTTGCCACATTGGCCCATGCATGATTCATGGCAATGCATTGAAATGTAAATAGTGCGCCACGTTAATTCGTGGCGTTTAGGACGTCGTGCAAAGTACGATGTCTTCGACGTGCCCAAAGTTCCGGCCTAGCTGGCACAATGACGCATTGTGCTGACAAATGAATTCTGAAGCTTTGCATCGCATCTTGGCATGGTCAGCTGGATGGTGTTGCAGAACAGCTTTGCTCAAGTGTCACGGCAAGCTCTGCTCTGTCAATATCAGTTGAATGTTCTAAACGAAAGCAGATATCGGCACCCAAGCCCATCTTGTAGAAGTGAACGTAAAGTTGAGTGTGCCCAAGATTGCAACAGCAGACGCTCCTGCATCCAACCCGGGCGTAGTTCTACAGCTTTCGCAGGCAGCATTGTTCTTTGACCTACCAGGACCTACCTCGTACAAGTGTATAAACACGTAGTCACAATGCCATGCAGCCTCTTCAGCAGCTGCAGCAGGAACGCCATGGAAAGGTCTGTCTGGCAAGTGTTAAGAGTACACAGTAGCTGTATCCAGCTATTCCGTGCAACCATGTTCAGATTTTTCTTTGTTTGTGCTGTCCTGTGTGGCTCCTCGAGGAGTGCAGCTTGGAAGAGCTGGTTTTGCTTGAACTTTGCGTGAGCAGAATGATATGGGATGGCGAAAAATCCTTCACTTCGGTGTCGTGCGATGCCACAGAAGCCGAGTCTTGTGTTCCCCGCGTCTTTTCTTTGTTGGTTCCAAGTGTTTCAGGCCTGTTCGAGTTCCACATGCCCTCCGGTAAGTATAGTAAAGTTGCAAAAGCCTTTCGTAGATCCTGGCGAATAACGCAGCTTAAAGTCTCGTCGACCGCAAGTTGGATAGAAGATGCCGCTTCTCGAGTCAACAACTATGAGCGCACGAAGCAAGCAAGCGGTTTATGTGTTCTGTTGGCGTTATGCTGCCCTGAAGTAGGGAGTAGGTACACGAGAGAATCAGCACATACGATGTGCAGGTGGTCGAGCTCTTGCAGGCAAGGGGGTGCCTAGTCTTGACTTCAGATTTGAGCTTCAAAGTGGAGTCACGAGGCGGCCATCTCAGAGCGAGATGTGCCCCAACGTGTGAAGTTGCTGCTGCAGTCAGAAGAAGTCTTGTTGAAGGTCGGAAACCAAGAATGCCCCCCATTCTCTCCTCCAATCAGCTCAGCCGCATGTGTGCGAGTCCTTTTAAGGCTGACACGTTGCCAGAGACAGTCGCTAGCTGTTGGTGCCCTCAGCATTCAGTATCACCAGCCTTGGGTTGAACAGCCCTGGAACAGATTGGAACAGTATTGTCCAAGGCTTGGAGTTCTACTTGAACCTACATGCTGACCCCAGCCCACCGCTGCGCCGATACGCGGCCCATTTCCTCGAGCGTCTGCTGTTGTGCAAGCGCGGCTCCAAGAATCCAAGAACGCCGGCAACACAAGACCCCAAAATTCTTTGATGGGCCCTACAAAGGAGAAGCAGCCCGGAATAGAATTGGCTTTGCCTACCCCAAGCCTACAGTAGTTCAGAGCCACTCATCGGGAGCCTGCGTTATCGATAACGGTGTGGCAAGTACTTCCTTGGTCTTCGTTGTGTGTGCAGCAGAAAGTACTCACCAGGAGCAAGACAGTCTTCGCACTATTCTGTTCTGAACTTCACGCTGCGCAGTCATCCCCGCAGACACACACAAGTGATCTGAATCTGAATGCATCAGCCGCGGAACGTGTTGCTGAAGAGTTTGCGCATTTTCGTGCTTCTCTGTTGGGGCACGAGATCCGGAGCAGGTTTCGTACCAGGGCCTCTGAAAGGCAACTTTCGACCCGTCATCCACGTGCCTTAGTTGGCGCTCTATTGCAGGACTTTCCGCACTCGCAACCACTGTTTTGAATCATCCCTAGCACAAACATATCGAGGTGTCTCTTATTACTAGTAGCGACAGGGCCTTGAAAGCAAAATGAGGAGGGAACCTGGGGGACATTCCCGAGACGTTAGTGCTGGAGATGACTTGATTTATTGATTGGAGGATCGGAGCGGGAATTTTGCAACAGCAAAACCTTTTTAGAACTGTGCAATGTGTTGCTTGAGTTTGAGGTCGTTTGCATGTTCTGCTTGACCAGGCCAAGCCTCTCACTGCGTTGTTCGGCCGCTATTGCTGCTCTACTTGCTGACAGTGATGCTGCTGCGCGGAGCTTGGATTTTCATTCCAGCACAGCTGCGAAGTAGGCGAAGCATGGCACTGTGTTCACTCCACTCACTCGGCTTGCCTTCTTGCGATTTGTGATTTGCGCTACAGTCTGAGGTGCAGGAACTGGCTTTAAGAGCAGCTTCCGTGCACCACGGAAGGGCTTTATTCGCTCTAGCCAAGGAGAGGCTACCAAGCAAAGGGGCCAAGTCACAAAGCCGTGTTTCCAGAATGCCTGTTGAGAATTTGCAAGTCTCCAAACAGTGTGCGAACTCTGCAAGGAGGATGCTTCAGAGTCTCAGAGAGTTGCCGAGCAGCTTCGTAGGCTGCAGGACAAGGTGCATTTGGCTTTATGATGCGCTATGCGAGTCACTTTCCGGATATGAAAAGTTGCCACAGACTCTCCGGCTGTCAGGCAAGGATTCTTCTACATTCGGACAATGTGTCACTTCTTGCCATGGCTGTTCGATGGGCAGTCGTGGTTATTCTGTCACAGACCGCATCTCCACTACTACTGAACGTACGGCTGCCCACAGAGCTTCGAGGAGTCAGTTGCATCCAGGATCTTCCTGTGACTCGAATGGGGCCAACCTCTGGTTTCCTCGAGCCATTGGCCCTCCAGCAACAAGCAGAGGAGCTCTTTGAGCTTCTGCTGAAACTCCTTCGAAAGGCTGTTAATGCTGTTACTTCGTACAATGACGGCCGCATCAAAGCGCAGCTGATCGCTGCAGTTGGTGCGGTTGCAAGGCAGCGGCCTAGCATGCTCCCAGGATGCCTTGATGTCTTCAAGACGCTGCTGAAAGAAGTGAAGGAAGTACTCGGAGCACAACATGATGAAGTTCAGAAGCTCGTAGCAGCAGAGACACAGCTGCTCATTGCTTCTGGACTCACCACAGAGTGGTCTGCTGACCTCCTGGAGATTTGCGAACTCACTGGTCAATCTGGCTCCCTGGAAGAGTTGTCAACGCAAGCGAAATACAAGCAGATTAGCATGATCACGGAGGATGTGGATGGAACATCTCGGGGGAACAAGCGGGCTCGAAAGGCTGAGTCATCCAAGCACGTTCAAGTCTTAGTTGGTCTCGCTGAGCACAGTCTGGCTAGAATGAGCATCGTGTATGCCAGCGGTCTCGCATGATGTTCAGTTTAAGAATACAAAGCAAACTCTGCAAGGTTTGGACCTCACAGTGCGGTGATGGGACACTGGCAGAGGATGTCATCTTTGATGCAGACGCTTTGCTGTCTGGCGAGGCAGAGTCCACCTGCAGGCGTTTGGAAGACTACTTTGGCTTGCCAAGCCAGAGGGAGCCTGCCGGACACGTTCCTGGCCCAGCAGTGCTTGCCACAAGAATCAGCAGTCAGGCGCTAGGGCGGCTAGGGTTGCTGTTGCGTGACGCTTGCACTGCACTTTGAAGTCAACTTGTTTGAGAACCCCACCAACTCTTGCAGACTTGTGCACAGGCTGAGCTTGCTCGCATCGCACTGACCTCCCTGAGCTCACTGTCCGTGCAGCGCAGCCTTCATCGAGAACGTGCTCATGAAAATGCCGTTGCATTTTCTGATGCTACTGCCCATGGTACCAATGGAGCGTCAGAGCCGGAGGCATTCCAAGAGCAGCTGTCTCTGCTCATAGACGGTAAAGCGGTTCAGCACAGCGAGCCTGAGAAGCCCGAAGAGCCTGCAGCGCGTGATCCGAGAGCAGCACTTTCGGCGGATCGTCTGGGTGGTGAAGGTAGTGGTGCAATGCACCTTCTGCCAATGGAAGTTGGGACTCTGCTTCTTCCAAAAGACTTGCGAGCCAAAGACGTGGCTGTCTGAGTGACGCAGTGCACTCGAACCTTAGCTCTTCTGGCGGCTTCTTAAGCACCTGCCTCGAGGCATTGCAGCTGAAGCTGTTTGAGGAGGTTTTGGCCAGCTGGAGCAGCCTCCTGGCATTCTCAAGAGCTGTGCCTGTTTGTTGTTTGTGCACATCTACGTCAATCTACGTCGTTCGTGCAAGTTCATGCACATGCGTGTAAGGAATGGAGACATCGCTTCTAAAGTGCTGTCTCCTGCCCGCGCAGCTCACCGCTTATGAGCGAGTCAGCCGACAGGCAGCCAGCCGATTTGGGCGCATGGATGCATGTCGGGAAGTATCTGTGCTAGTATTCATGACCCAATCATGTGTCATGAACGTCGGGTTCGGGATGCTTTGCCTGATAGTTCACGAACGTTGCGCATGCTACTGACTGCGGAGTTGGTTTGGATTGTGTCTTGCAACGTCCGACTGGTCAAGTTCTAGCTTACATGCTTCAGATCCGGCGCCACGTCCGACCCTCCATCTTTTATAAGGTAGTAGACATGATGATGCAGAATGATTGTTTCGAACGAATCACGCAAGACGAATGCACAGGACAAACCGCCCTTTGAAATCCGAATCGGACAGTGCATCGAGAATTACTGTACAGTGTGATCACGCAATGGCAAGCAAATTTAAATGTCATAATCTTACCGAGCAAGGCACCAAGCATGGATTTCCTGAAAGGGCCAGGCCTGTTCAAGCACATTCAATCCACAGTGACGGATTTGCTGCAGGTTGCTATACACCTTGCGGCAGGTCCAAGGACTTGGCATGTTTCATGAGTTGCTGGGTGACTTGCGGCATCGTTGAGGTACAATTACTGGCACATGGCTTGGAGGGCAGCCGATCCTATGCATGTACATGTGTATATATATATATATATATGTATGTACATGTGTATATGTGTAAAAAAGTGCCTCCCCAGAACCCGCTGTAACTAGACAAAGACCGATAAGTACACCCTAAAATCCGAAGCGATATCGACATCCGGGAACACTGTTAGCAGATAGCATTCACGCATCCGTGGCTTTCCCATATACTTTTGCAGCACTCCTGCACATACACGCCGAAATCCCTTCAAACAGAATCCGTTCCAGGCCATGTCTCTGAGTAACTCCCCGAGACATGGCCCGAGTGGTATCTCAGCCCGGTAGGCCCGGTAGGCGTTCTGCCAAACCCCATATCTAACCTTAACTTACAAAGACTCACAGCCTCTTTCTGTTTAGCCCGCAGACGAGAATGTGTACTTTACGAACCAAAATGGTAGAGCGGCCTCCGGTTAGCCACTAACTTGAACTTGCTAATCTGAGACCTAGCCCGAGTGAATGAGGCGACATTGCATTATGTTGATGGTGTTTTGAGAATATAGGTAATGTAGTTCTTGCAGTTAGCTGGAAATACACAAGGTTTCCTATCTCATAGTTAGGTAGTTTGTTTGTGTCAGCCAAAAAGCTGAGAAGGTCCAACGGGCCAATTTGCATATCAATATATACATATGTATATGTATGTATGCATGCATGCATTCATATAGACACAAATAATACAATATGAATTCATGCTCGAAAAAAAGCAGATCGATATAGATATAATGTGTCCCAGATATTGTTTTCGTGTATGGGAGGTTTTGTTTTCAGGGGGGGGGGGTAGCTTATGTAGCTCTCTGCCTACCTATGCACGCATTGCGCCGTGTTGGCCTTAGTATTACAATATATCTACAGTGACAGGTGTATATATATATATATATATAGATTTATGGAGGATGGCTTTGCAGCCAGATTTGCAGCGGTCCATGTTCGCAGCTCAGACTTGTTGTCGGTCGCGATCAAGGCTGTGCAAAAAGTCATGCAAAGGTGCCAGGCCTATGTCCTCCGAACCTTCGACCTACTGCAGGCTGTTGATAGCTACTCGCAGCGATTGCAGTCGTGAGCGTGTTGCGATGCTTCACAGTTGGCAAAAGTGTCTGCACGGGTCGAGGCATCCCTCCAATCCACCAACAAGGCGCGAAGTGCCCGCAATAATCCGTACGGCCTGAACAGGGAAGAGGAATCAAAACTTGGAAAGGCAAGTGCAGCAGCGGCCATGGATCAGCTCGTGGAGCTGTTTTACGCGAAGTTTTCTGCTGATGTGGCCCGTTTCCAGGTTCCGAGACTCTTCAAGGTTCTTCTTATCCTCCATGTAGTGAGCAGAGGAGTCGGCCGCCGGAAACAGCGCGCCTCTCCGTGAAATCTTGGAGGCGCTGGGGGATATTCAGAAACCATGCACAATGCAGCTTGGTCACTGCTTCTTGGGAGGCAGGTGGATCTTCAAGGCGTCTCGCAGGGACCAGCTTCACCTATGCGGAGCGGGCCGTGAGCACTTGCGCCTTGCGCTGGCAGCAGTGTTCCAGTCATCTTCAACCACGTGCATGGACGTGCATGCTGAAAAGGAGCTCTTCGACATGTGCCTGGCAGAATTTGAGAAGCGAGATGTTCCCAGGCCAATTCTCGGAGACAAGCCGAAACCCTGAACCCCAAACACCAGACGCGAACATGACAGGCGTGAGTTGAGGACCTTTCTGGGCGAGCTCCCAGCTGTGCCCGTTTCTGCATTCCGAGCACTTGAAGCACAATGCCAGCTTGCATCAGCCACAACCTCAAAGAACTCTCAGATACTCTCAGACTCAGAAGTCAGAAGTACTCAGAAGTTCTTTAAATGCCATAATTGCATATAATTGCCATGTGCCCAGGCTCGGAAGATGGCCTTGCTCACAATTCTGGCATTAATTGAAGGCCCGGGATGCACCCAATCACTGCCTTCGCCACATCAGCTTGTCAAATGTCATCTGGCGGCCGGAGGCAAGCCTGCCTGCCGTTGGCGGGGCTTTCAGTTGCTGTTCAAGTTGGCCTTCTCGGCTGGCGAGGCTTGACCATTTTGTGACTTTTTCATTCATGTATATACATATATATATAGATATTACAATTTGTACATACGTAGTCGTATGTGTACAGGTTCGACGTGTAGATGTGGAGCCTACCTTGTCGGGATATCTCCTCTTAGGGGAACGGGATGAGTCTGAAGGATTCTGTCCGATTTGACACAATCCGCCTCCTCGTCAACAAGATTTACAGTTCTGGGCCACGCCCTGCAATGCGTCACCTGGCGCTGAAGTACCGTAAGAACCCTCCCAAAAACTTCGGCAGTCGCATCTCACTGGAGGGCGCGCCGCCTCAACCTGAGGCTGGCAGCTCCCGCACTTGACGGATGAGGAGGCACTGCCGCTCATGGCAGATGGTGAGGCCCGGATCGCCAGTTCCTGCAACACCTCCAAAAAACGAAGAGCTAAAATGCTAAACTCAGCGACGGCGGCCGCATGGAAGTACAAAACGGTTCAATCTGCCTTGCATCAGACGTTATTTTGCAGGCATTATTCTCGACTTGTTATACAGCGCACTCATAGTGTGAGATCATGTGTGTCGCTCTCCAGGGCACCGCTGACCCTAAACCCTTAAAGCCCAAGCCCCCAACCCTCTTGTCTGTGAGAAGAGGCTACCAGCTGGGACCTGCCAGACCCTGATTTCCTGTCATTGCAGAGGCCTGGAGGGCTTAAGAGGCTTCCCTGCTTATTTGCCGTTGCCTGCGCCAGGCTTCGTGGACGCTGTATTGAAGATGTTGCGACAATCATGTTGCGCGTGGGCCTCAGTCTTTGGGCGCGATGCATCGTTGGGCACGCTCGCTTCACACAGCTGAACGTGCGACGTGAGGCTCTGTCGCAGCCAGCGGTCGTGAGGACAACTTTCGGAACAAGGTTGGCATCCCGTTCCGATTGGAGCAAGTTCGTGCTGAACCTACTCGGCAGAAATCGTGAGCTGTTTCGTGCTCGCTTGCATGCCGGCATGGGGCATAGAGTGCACAGAAAGAAGACGCGCAGTGTGAGAAACCCAGCTAAAGGTGCTGATCTCTTCAAAGGCGCAGGGGACTGCGGTTTCTTCATGTAGTACCATACGGTTGTGTCAGGTGCGATCTGTGCACCAAAAGATCGATCTTGGCCCTACCTCGCACTTTGCATCAAAAGGCTTTGGTCCCATGCATACCTCGTTGTTAAACAGTTGACAACATGTTACAAATGCACCTTGCACTCGCACTCTGTCAGGCCAATCTTGTTGCATGGCCTGGTCGAGACCTTCATCCAGTGCGATGCGGAAATGAAGGAGCACTTGATCAACTCTATCGAGGAGGTTTCACTCCATGCAAAGTACCGAACACATCGTCACTGGACCTGGCTTGTCCAGAGGCTGTGAAGCACATCCCCGTCGGTGAGCAGGTGGCAACCCTGGGCCCCTCATGTCGGAACTGGCGTTGCGAGACCTTGCGAGCATTTTGTGTATTCGTTTTCGGCAGGAGCTCCTAGTTCTTGTGCAGAAGGTGCGCTGCATTCCGAAGATAGGAGGACAGACCCGCAAGATCCCACAAGTCGCCAGGCAACTCCACAGACAGAGGCGCTGGTTCTCAAGATGCTAAACATCATGATGCCCGCGCTTCAGCTTCTTAGCACATGTGCTCAGTCTTACACTTGGGGCTGGGCAGCCTCCCGTGCATTGCCATGCAACATCCAGTGGCCCAGTGTGAAGATCTCTCGCCGGCCATGTCAGAACAGAAAGAACCGGGAAGCACAAGCATCATGCTTCCGTGGGGTTTTCACAAAGACATCCTGAGGGTGTAAGCCAATCCCTCAAGGGCATGAAACGTTGTTCCAAGCATCCTGCCAAATCGGCATAGCCACATGGGACGTCCAGGATCGGGGTCCGACACTCTCTTTGGTGAATTGCTTGTGCATGGTTGTTTTGTCAGCGCGGGCCAAATCGCCTGCCCCCTCTCACTCCGGGCGGGGTAACAAAGCGAAAGCTTCCTGCTTTCGCTTGCGGGTTCAAGACTGTCGCTGCCAAGGACCAGCAGGGGCAAGGAACCACTTCTTCCAGGCTTTGGCGCAGCTGTGGTTCGTCTGTACAAGGCCTTGGGCGACATATTGCTTTGCAAGGAAGTGTGCCTGGAATCACACCGAGGAAACTCAAAACCCTCGCTTGCTTGTTCCGGTCTTCGACATGCTCGACAGTGGGAAGCTTAGTGTTTCTGTGGCATCGCCACATAGTCCAAAACTTCAGGCATACCATGCCACCAGCAGGAGCAATGGCACCGTGATGCTGCCAGGAGACACTTTGCTGGACTTCCTACCATCAGCCGTGTACTGAGCATCAGTCCCATCCCATCCCATCCCCCTTTCCCCATCCCCATACCCCCTTTCCTTCCCCTTCGCCCCCATCTCTCCACCCCCCTTCGTTTTTTCTTGTTTTTGTTTCTCGCCCTCTCTCTCTCTCTCCCTCTCGCACGCTCTCTCTTTCCATCTGTCTCCCTTTCTCTCTTGCTCTCTTGCTCTTTCTTTTTGTTTATTTCTCTCTCTCTCTCTCTCTCTGTCTCTCTCTTTCTCTCTCTTTCTCTCCCCCCTTTCTCTCTCTCGCTCTCTCGCTCGCTCTCTCTCTCTCCCTCCCTTCCTCCCACCCTCCCCTCCCATGCTTTTCCTACAGTATCTTGTGCTGTCAAGTACCTACACCTTCGAGGTGCTGCAGTTGGAGGCAGACGAGGTGACTGATGCTTTCCGGCTTGTGATTGGAGCTCGCGCACCCCCGCTTAGCGCCGAGCGCTTGGAGGGCAGGCTTTGGATCTTGGGGCTTCGCTCCAATGTTGGACAGTCTTGCAAAGGTGACTGAGTTGCTCACCGAGCTTCACCACATCAACAGCCCTGGGGAAAACATTGCGCCTTGGCTGGCCACCGTAGATGCTTTAGCCAAGTCAGCTAGGTTTCTGGCTGCAGCCAGTGCACGAGGTGCCCATCAAAGCTTCAATGCAAGCGCTGAACATCGTGTTTGGCATGCGGGACTGAACACCATCGAACACCATCGCAAGTCGCCAGAGTCGCTGGAGATCTCAGTGAGATTAGCATGATTAGCTTAACTTCTCCGCAAATTCTTGGCCAGGACCAGTTTGACACCAAAGTGTACGGCATTGTCATCCAATCCCTCGTTGAAGAACCCGGGCCCCTTCCGACCCTCTTCATGCGCACTGTGATTCAAGTTGCCAGACACCTAGCCGGAGCTAGCCAGTACCCATGCCGATGCTAGTCGATGCTGCCTCTAGCCTCAGGTGAAAGAACTTCCTCGACTTTCGGACTTTGTTGTCATGGAGATCCTTCCTCGGCTTGTTCGACAAGAAGTTTGGGGCGATGAAACGATGTGGCGCCCTGTCGTCCCACTTGACTCTGACCTTCTTGATCATTCTTGGCATGCGTAAGATCTGAGATAGTCGGACCACCATTTTGTCCGCAGCTGCCATGCATGGCTCAGGCGTGGCTTCATGATTGTGTTGCAGCACACATTTGCAAGCCAGCCGAGTGGAGCAGCGAGAGTCCTGGCAATGTTGCCCATCTCTCAATTGGAGGACTGACAGCCACACGCTCTGTGCAAGGGCATGCATGCCCAATCTCTCTCCCAGCCTTGTCAACATGTATTTGCAGTGCAGGACGTCTTGGTGCAGCATCCAGACTGGAAAGCGCAGCTGCGCGAATTTGTTGCAAGACAGCCTCCGGGCATAGTGCCATCTCATGTGAGGCAATTGCTCGAATGAGGTCTTAAGCCTCAACAGCTCCAAGCTGAACACTGCCCTTGCAAATCTTTGCAGCAACTTCATCGAAGCAATGCCGGTGATCCGTGCTTTCACCAAAGTATTTAATGTGAGAGCACTTTCATCGGAGGTATAACCACGTGCTATCTCGGGAGAACCCAAAAAGGTCACCATGTCATTTGTGCTCGATACATCTTGACACCGTTCATGCCGGGGTGCTGTACCATGTTGCGAATCATCCCACCGAAAGCGAAGCGTTAATGCTGAGATGTTTGTGTCATGGAGTTGTCGCTTGCACCATAGACTCAAGCCATCTCGAGCCCGTCTGCGCCTTCGGTTTGTTCTTTGAATAAGATGTTGAGAGTTGTGTGAATCTACGCGACAACACGCCAATTCGCTGGATGCAGGAAACACGAACTTGAGTCATGGAGGCTGCTTCTCGTCGCAACTCTTCATAAAGCTAGGTAGCTCCGCTTAACTTGCGAGCATTCAGCGGCGCATGGCCTGCTTGTGATTCCTGCCACGCACACACACAAGCAACCACCTGTCCAACAGTGTAGCAGCAATCACTCAGCCATGGTACGGAAGTACTTCTTAGAAGTTATAGACGGCATACCCCTTTAATGTACTCACACAGTATAATTGTCTATACGCCTGAGCCCCGCCGCCTCGGCTGCCGGGCCGGCCCAAGCCACGGGACGCGCATGTCAACGGTCCAAGCGGTGCAGGGTGAGAAAATCATTCGCAAAACCGGCATCTTGGTAGGATGGGGACGTGTGAACCACGTTCCCTTGGCCCATTTGGTTCGCCTCTGGCTCCTCTACGTGGAGCCTGTGCTGTGGTGCTTGGTTGTGGCTTTGCCGCCAACCAATACCCAGACACGATGGTTGGACTCCTGTTGGACTTCCTTCAGCGCAAAGCTGGCCGCTTGCTACTAGGTCTTGCAAACGTTCACCTCGTCTCTCATCACTTGCTTGTTTGGGTTGGGGACCTTGATCGCACCTGCTTGGGGCAAGCCGGCTGGGGCTCTGGGCACGCATGATGTATGACGACGGCAACATGCAGCAAACTTTTATGTTGGCGCGCGACAGAGGGCACATGGGCCCATCAGGTCAGCATTGACATCCAGGTGTTTTTGCCCTGAGTCAATTGCTAGTTCCAACCACTGTCCCCTGTCCACGTCAACGGATTCGGAATCACCCGCTGACCTGAATGATCTCAGACTCCATCCTGATGCGTGGCTTAGACAGCATCGCGGAAGAAGGCAGCGTAAGTGGCAGCGTCGTCGAGCTTGGCTGCGTGAGATGAAGTTTGTTTTCTCTTGAGTCCTTTCGGTAGCACTTTCTTGTGACATGTATGCTGCTGACCTTGCAGCACTCTGTGCGCGCGCCTTACGAACCTTTCAACATGCTGCCGCATAGGGCCGGCTGCGACGGTCAGTTGGGAGTGAAAGCTGCTCCCCGAGTGCACTATGCTTGAGGCCAAGCGAATAAAACCGCGGAGGAAAACGACGCCGACAAACAACTTTACACCAACAGCGTAAGTGAGCTTGGGGACGTATGAAAGGGAGGCTTGCGCGTTAGGGGGTCAGTGGAGGGGCGCGTCATGGTGCAATGTTTGTGGGAACGCCCTGCAAGGAGGCTTCCTGTAGCATTCGACTGCGGTCCCCCTAGGCGAACTTGGCAGGTCCCGCAAGGCTGGGGGGAGAGGGCGAAGGTGGACCGGTTGGAAAGGAGACCAAATCCTGGTCCAGACGCCTTTCGGCCGGAGGCCGAGACGAATATGGTAAATAGATGCTGTCGTGGGCGAAAGAAAGCAGCTTCAGAAGACGCAACGGCCACGGACCAACATGGTGTCGATGCCGGAAGTGCGGAACCAAAGGACAGGTCTGCATGCAGTGGTGCAAAATGATTCACTGTTCTGAGAAGCCATTTCCTGTGTCATCAATGTACTACCAATGCAAGCATCGTCACACGGTCGGTGTCATTGCAGGAGCTGGAAGCCGTCAACGAGTTCACAGGGAGACACACTGTCCGGCCACCAGGACCTTTTTGCACTGTAGAACCTTGCATGACCTAATCGATGTTTGCGGTTGTCACGCGTTGTCACAGGATCTTTCAAGTCAGCTCTGGTCCACCACAGCGCGCTCCTCTACCTTTACTCTTCAGGGTTGAAATTTGGAAATGCTAGGAACTTGATCCCACCTTGAGGTGGATCCAATGTGGGAGCACGGCACGGAGGCCACTGACATCAGTTGATCAGCTGAGCAGCGGTTGTGTTGAGTTTTTTGTGTGCGACATTTTGCGATTGATTCCCGTCGGTGCACATGAGGCAGGCAGGTCTGCAGCCAGTGAACGCATGGCTGCACGCTTAGCAAGACGTGTCGTTACAAACGTGACTATCTGAGCTTCGTATTCAAGGGAGTCTGAAGTTCCAGCTGACCAGCCGTCCACGAAGAATGCCACGGCGACACTTGTTCATAACGATCCGGACATGTCAGGCTCAGAACTAATTATCCGTATTCCCTGTGGGGTAAACATGGGTATACCTTTGCACTGCAAGAGACCTTATCCAACAGCATAGAACGCTGTCCGGCACAGCAAGTTTTAGTAGGCTTTGTGGGTGTGTTGAACTGTTCGTGTCACTGCATGTGTGAAAGAGGCTCTACATCAGCCATCGCTGGCCCACTTCAACTGCAACAATTCAGCACAACCAGAATCCCAACAGCTTGTCTTGTCAGTGGTGGGAAACCTCGACGTAAGTGTCGAATTCTTCCGTCTGAATGCCCCGAGGTCTCTCAAATCTCGCGCATGCATGCTGCCATGAACCAGGCACACAGTCCTTTGCAGCTTTCTTGTATGGCCTCTCATGGCTTCTCCCACACCATGTGGCATGTGCCTTCGCAAGGTTTTGGCACATGAGAAAACCAGACATGCATCAGAGATATCCTTGATCCTGCGCAGAGTCGAGAAGGACTACGTGGCAAACCCACTCAGTCTGGTAGCATCCGTTGGTCCATCCAGGGTAGGTGTCGGCCAACGCGAGGACTTGAGAGACACCTTCCAGAAGGTTGGAAGTACTGTCAGGACCGGCGGGTAGTGTACTGAGCAGACCTGAGATGTACTGAGCAGACGTCATAGGGAGAACTTGGCTGAACCAAGCACGTCCTGCGCGGATCTGTGCAGGGCTTTGGCAGACCAGGTGCAGGCTTTGACCAAGCAGGCATGGGACATCATGGGACATTCAAGAGGGCAGCATCCAAAGCGCTCTCACGACAACTGCCAGGTCGAAGCCCAGAACGAGGCAAGTGAGCTTGTGCCGCGCTGTGAGATTGTTGTGATATGGTGTGGCCAGCTAGTGACTGACTAGTTAGCTAGTTCTTAATGAACGAATATATACAGAATTTAATCAATGAATTTCTGCTGCAAGCTGCTGCAAGCTGAAGGGTACACTGAAGTCACCTATGAAGTGCGCTGTCCGTGGTGGCCCTGTGTGGTGGCCCTGTGTGGTGCTCGCATCGCTCGGGTGTTTGTGTTGCCTGTTGAACTCTTTGGGGGCTGGCGCGTCAGCTTCTGTTGCCCTGCTGCGGGCCCGTGCATGCCAGTCACCTCGACGCATAAAGATGTGTCTACAACTGCGCTGTGTATCTGCAGCACTTTTCCGAAAGCAACGGCTGTCTTAAACTCAGTGCCTGTAGTCACTCTTGCAAAGATGGGCTTGGTAAGGTACTGTAAAGGGAATCCGGTGCACGGCACTGCTACAGTAGGCCACTAGACACACTCGTAAGCTGGGCAGGCATTGGAGGTGCGATCGAATGTGTGTTCAGCAGCTTGACACAGTTGCCCGGCACATAAAGTGACTTTCACTTAGTCACTTGCAAGGCAGCCAAGGGATCATCGCCAGAGACCCAGCGGCCATGCGAAGCCATGCGAAGCCATGCGAAGCCATGCGAAGCCATGCGAAGCCATGCGAAGCATTCAGAGACGTCTGCAAGCCTCGCCTTGCCAGACACGAGATGCATCCGGATGCACAGATCCTCCGTCGGCATCTCAGCATGGTCCAGAGTCTGGACAAGTATGTGACATCATAATATGTCTTCAAAGACAGTTGTTGCATGTGGCAGTGGCGGCTGAGGTCAAAGTGAGTATGTGGATGCGCAGTGTGAGGACTTGACCTGACTTGTTTTGCAGCATTTTGCTTGACTCCACCCCGCCTCCCCCTCCCTCTTCCCCACCACCTTGCAACTTGCGATAGGAGCCAGTAGCTGGCTTTCAATGGGTCGAAGAGCGTGCCGCTCCGGCCTGGATTGCTGGAAGGCAGACGTATGCAGATACTGGCGGGCGGTATCCGCAACTGACGCAGGAACAGGCCCTTAGAGACGAAATTGCACACCTGCGATCCAAGTTGCACTCGTGACCATGCCGTCTGCCCGTCACATGGGGTGAAGTACTGTTGGAGCCTAATTATTGCGCAGCCGAGCGTGGCCGAACCGGAGGTACGAGCACGGCCATAAAGGTACGCTTCCGTGCCGTTCTCAGGATTGTCGGGGGACACTTGTTTGCGGGACTCTGTACAGGTTTGTGCAGTATTGAGATGTATTGAGGATGGAGGACAGGCTGCAAAAGTTTAACGTGAAGACCCCTCAGAGATCATTCGCTCAACTCTTAGGACCAACCAGAACCCAAAAGGCCGCTGCAGCAAAAGCAAGAGTGTGACGACATGGTGGAGTAGGGCGTGGAAACATTGTTGCCACGCCTCAGAGCGCACGCTGAATCGCAAAGTATGCAAAGGCAGATGGTGCAGATGACCTCATCGTGGCATGGATCTCAGTGTCAACGCTTATTCTCATGTCGGAGCAAAGCAAGAAGTCAGCATTCTCCAATCATGCCAGGATGCGTCGTGCGGGAAGGGAGTGTCCGCCATGCTGCATGCTGTAACTTTGTGCATGTTCGTAAGCCACACATGGTCACACGTGCTGCCAGACGTTCCAAGCTGCGAGTGTT